ACCGGGAAGGTTTCAACATTTTCACTTACAACTAACCTCCACATCTCTCAAGTTCGATGATTCCGTTCTTATGGTTAGAGCAGCCAGTGCGTGTCCATGAGATTCCCAATACGTTTTATCTGAAGCACAATGCTCAGAAATGTGCTTACTTAGCCTTACATCTTAGCAGAAGAAAGATATGATAACAGAATTTTTTAAGGATGCATTTTGGGGTAGATTTATTGAGAAAGAAAAGAAATTACAGATTTTTTTGAACAGTCATTGCGTTTCGAGAAATATCTAATAATGAGCTGTGCAGAATACATACAAGTTCATGGTGCTCCGGTTATTATGCTCGACACCTTGGCTAGCCCAGGTTATACGCTCACGAACCGCTTCAACAAAGTCGACGTGCGGCAACTGCACCAACTATTCTGCAAAGGTTTGTGTTCATGTATGAAACTTTTGACCCAGGAACACTCACTATGAGATTCCCTAACGGTCTAGTTTTTCGTTCGTCAGCCACCCTTGATACAGCACCGTCTCAGAGACCGTATACCTTACCATGGGTGACGGAACTTCTCTCCGATTTCCTACGTTCCCTTTGCGACATGAATCTTTTTTTAAATGTCTCACGTCTTCGAACTGCAGCTACCGTACTCAACCGCTTCCCCGCCAATCGATAGCACGCAATATTTTTCGTCGATTGCCTTTCTTTTTTGATTACTTGAATGTTTCATTCTGTTCCTTCTGACTGTTTCTGAATGATTCCCCCTGTATTATCGACGATCAAGACCGCATTGGAATTGTAGGATGCAACCAGCAAATTCAAATAATTAAAGGACCCCTAACTCACAAATTGCGCGCTCCAATCTTCGATCGTCTTCCTGTGATACGCGGCGGGTGCGGCGAGCGCGAGGCAGTGTTCGAGGAGAGAGCACTTTCATCTAACTGAGCAATATCGATGAAATTCTTCTTAATGATGCTTCTCAATCCTGTTCGAGTGCACTTCGTGGTTGCTTGCAATGAGTGTATGGTCGTACAAGCCCCTCTTCCTTGACTATGTCCAGTCGTCACGACTGACAGAAGTATCTCGGCCACTGGCCAATACTCACTGCTGTGAATCCTCGATACCACCATGCGAACGCCTTCCTGAATGGTTTGGAGCATCGTCAAGATGCAGGCGATACCAGAAGAACCCTTCGACTTCAACAATTTCTCTTATGGTTAGACTCGCAAAGTTCGCCAAAAACTGCCCTCAGCCCGAAACAGTAAGATCGCTCTATAAGTAGTGTTTTCTCGGGACAGATGACTGCCTCTGTGCGTTCCTCGAAGTCCATCGACATGATCTTCGTCTCAGTTATCTGCAGGCTATTTTTTGGTCACTGCCTGAGCTTTGGCCTGGAGTTCTTCCCTGTTGTCATAAAATGTGTCCTAGATCAAAGAGGGGACAGTGAAGTTGTTGTGTTCCCAGCACCTTTCTGCTTCCTGCCTGCCGATGAAGCTGTCATCCTTTACGGACATCGAGAGCATACTGCAGGTCATTTTTCTGAACGGTTACACAAGTCAAGTATTTCAGCCAACTGTTTCTGCCCCATTTACTATAAGGAATTCACAACACAGAACGATGTGCCGTATGGCGGATGCTACAGGAAATCCACGCTTCCAGCAATTCACGTGCGTTATGTATTCTATTGTATATGTATAAGACAGGTTTCAAATGGGTACCCAATCCTCTTTAATAATCTCCTAGTCAAAAGTAATGGCAGAAAAAAAGATACTTTTCGCTAAAAACAGACAGCGCAGTCACAGGAGGAAAATAGGAAATTCAAGGTTAGAAAGAGTACTGTTTGACTTCTTCTGTGCTAACACCAACATCTGAATTCATGGTTCTTCAGCGAGTTTCTCGCATGATAAAATGAACTTTTTTTTTTGCTATTAGAGCTAAATAGGCAAGGAAAAAAGAAAGGGTTGTAAGATCAATGAAAAGAATTGGAAAGCAAAATTCCCTTGAAAAGAGGTAATAAAAGCAATAGGGAGACGAAACTAACTAGGGAGGACAGATCCGTATCCCATTTTCATGATGACACAATCGATGATTTTTGATTGTACGAGATCACGAATTAAAGCCATTCGAGAGATCACGGAAACGACAGTTTTCTGAAAAATAAGGTAAAATAGGAAAATTATGAAACGGATAATAAGCAGAAGCTAACTTGTTGTATGCACCATGAACTCGAATGTTTCCGATTTCTAGAATAAGACAGTACGTGCTAGCTATGTAGAGTTTCCTTTCCACACTGTAAAAGCTGAATTCGGGTAAACAGATAGATCTGGTGCCAGTAAGAAAACCATGGACTCGATCTGATACATATTGAGCAAACGGTCTTGAAAATAACCAGCAGGCTTTTTTGTTACCTCCAGATAAATTAAATACAATAAATGTTCAACTTAGGGCCTTGTATAGAAGCATTACCCGAGCGAAAATATCTAGAACCACAAGTAAAGCTTGAGTATACATACGGCTGGCTCCTGAAGACTCGACCACGGTCTGTAAACTCACTGTTTCAGAGTCTCGCTCAACGAAGCTGTAATCGACACTACGATGGCGTTATTGCTACAGTGCGCACCAGAGAAAAAATGGAATTCCTTACCCAATGTAAGTCTAAGGGTCCTTGAGTGAAGCGGTCTTTTGAACAAGTTGACAGAACTCCTGAGAGATTTACCTATCGATGCTTTGTCTCTTGAACGAAAAAGCTTTTGCAAGAGAGTATCGCGAAAAACCCCAGAAATCAAATCAGCACAGCGTCTCTGGATTCTCAAAGGGTTTACAGGTTAACCTAATCCTTTTATACATACTCGAACCTATCTAGAGTACTTTTTCTAAGGATAGTTGATAATCTGGAAGTTTTGCCATAAACACATTTAAGAATTTAAAGACGAGGTCACAATGAGCCTGGGGGTGGGATTGTCCAGTACCATCAAGGTACTATTAGCACTCGTACGTTTTGGACAGGCGAATACCTACACAAAGGGGGAATGCGAATAATGGAACAGGGGTATCGCGCATTTGTTCCATGGCAATTCTCAAAATGATGGTAATTCGACGTTGAGAACATGATGAACTTCACCTAGCTCACGTTTTCAATCCAAAACTCATGCTGAATCCATCATTTAGTGATGCGATCGAAGGTGCCATTTTGGACAGGCTTGAAGTTCACTAACGATGCTTATCAATGGAATAATGAAGGCCCCGTAAGTTTTCTCAGGCGACGTATTAATTCCGATATTTACTTTTGGAATTGAATGGTGCTGTTAACATTGATTCAAAAAATGAAACTTGAAATCACCTTTATTATAGACTCTCTCTCATGTCTTAATGAAAAATTTGGAAGTTTTTCAATAACAAGATCACTTTAGTACCGTGAATGCTTCAAAGTTACGTATACGGTGTTTGTACGTGAAAGACAAAAATTATGGTGTACTGAGGCAGCGATCTTTTTCAAGTTTCAATCTTCCGAACGATTGACCCACAGAATGATCATGAATAAAGTTTTTCTGACAGCTCCAAGACAACGACTTCACTCAATGGGCAACCAACTATCCCGACTCCACACAGGGTAATTGCGTCAAAATGGCCTATAGTGAGGCAGACCAGTCGTAAGTTATATCCTTTGACTGTTTAGTATTTATTCTGCTCGTCTGTCTTGAGTATCCGCCAGTGTCTTTGTCATTTTGTGAATGGTTTTATACTTCTTTTTGTATACCATAGTTTCCGAAAATGATTCTACCAATTTGATTTATTGATTGTTGAATCTGATAACACATTAGGTTGTATTTCAGAACTCAATGGTATAGCGAATTCTGCACCAAGGATCTCCTGTACATTTGCCAGATTGTGGCGTGCAGCACGGGCCACTACTGTCCTGTCATCTGATAAGTACAGANGCAATAATAAAACAATTTCGTTCGACTTTTATAGCTGTACCTCATAAAAATGTGGTGTTGAACCGTCTAATTCGCTTGGTCTTTCCCAATGGAGTATGATCGATGCTGATTGCCCATCATTATCTACTTTTCACGCACAACTGATTTTCAACTATGGTTGGGGAATCGTCTCGCGAGAGCCGCTGGAGCTGGATCTATAAAAGACCTTATGCCTATCCTGAAAAAATCGGGAAACCCCCCACTCCCTTTGCATTTCCTGAAAGTGAACTTTGACATAGGACTAACAGCGCAATGCAAGTGAATGCGCCTATGCTTTTGCCTATGATCAAAAGTTTCGATTTCTTGCTCTTCATATAAAAAATAATTAAAGACTAAAGATTTCATTAATAGGCAACCGAAGCCCTGAATGTAACTCACAAACGTGATGTCGTGAACTTCTTTGGAACTTACTTTGTCTGTGGATGTAACATTAGTTGGGTATCCCAGATAAACGGTTGTCGATTGAGTTCTGTCATAAATGATATCGAAAGAGGGAACTATGAATTTCCAGCTAGTCACAAAATTGTTGGGTAGCGGTCGTAATTCAAAAGCGAGGAGTGAACTGAATTCTCATCTTCTTAAAATGCATGTGGTGTCTTTAATCGGTCCCTGTCACTGCACTTACACTCACTTTTGTGGTCCTACTGTACCATCCCGTCATATCGCCGCTTTTTCTCGCTAGGTAAGGTCCCTTCTCAGTTCCTCCAGCGGCCATCTGGCGATCCCAAGATACTCCACATCACATGTCAAACAGTTAAGGCTTCGCCATTAATACAACTAATCTAGTGCATTTCCCCGTTGCGTTTTACTACTATACGTCCACCAATCATTCCACCACAAGCGTTGTCTGAAGATTAGCTCAACTCTGCAATAACGCAATATCAAATTCGCTACTCAAGAAAGCAATGGCACAGACACATGATTTCAAGGATATTTGCGCTCATGATTTCTTTTTACAAGCACCTTGCCGAATTTCGGCCGTCTTATGCTATATGTCCGTACTGGTTAATATAATAGTTTATTTACAAAGTCAGAGATACTTCACTGAGAATTACAAGACAATTGGTTCTACTTGTTGGACAAGTTTGCAGAATCGATACTTCTCCATGAATCTAAGGTCGCACCTCTCAGCTCATCAATTGTGGAGGACTGCCTGCGATTATTCCGAACCCGTCGAACGATAAGACCCCTGAAATTTCTTTGGGATTAAGATCAGAACTGCTCGCAGGCTACTCTATAATGTCGATTCTGGGCTGTTGGAACCACAACAAAGGTAACTTGCTAGCGTGGGCACTTGCATTATCCTGCTGGAAGACTAGCTTCTGCAGTTGCCACCGCCCATGAATGGGGATCCAAAACTTTTTGATGCTCTCGCTGATCCATTCGATAAGAAAATGCTGACACCAGCTTTCTGTCCCAACAGCAAACTCCCAAAACCATTAACGAACCGCCTCCGAAATTCTGCCGACTCAACTGTACTTGTTCTTTCCTCAGATCTCCTCATTAGTATCGACAGCCATCAGGCCTATCCAAATTTAGATATTCTGGTTGGAAAAGAACACCTTCACTCACGGAATCACTTTGCAACATGAAAGCACCGCTAATTCCACAACAGCACCTGCTTCCAATCCGTCGAAACATGTCTTCAAGCAAACTCGAGACGGATCGACTTATGTGAATCCGTGACGCGTGTTGCTCTCTTCATGACTTCACTCACAATGTTGCTGTTGCGCCTGATGGCCCTCCGGATTAAGAAACAGGTAGCCTAAAGTCAGCTCGGAAGCGATTAACGCTATTGCTCCAATAGGGCCAGCCTCCAAATTCGCCGTTCATCTCTTGTGCATGGCTTTCGCCTTCGTTCAATGGCTACCGTAAGTCTTAGGACCTTTTAGGTGATAGACAACATAACGACTTCTGCCGATTTGCTTGGCGTTCTGTCGATTGTTGTGTTCGGTATCGTGCAGAGTCCGTGTTTCAGCTTTTTCTTTCGTAGCTAGCGGAGAGCCAGGTAACATAGCGACAAGACAACCTTGCGCTATTTGTTGTAGAAACATGTAACCGGGTTGAAACGGGAATTTCCCAGGTCGTTCACTGGGGTTGGACTTTTACTGTGAAACGCTCGAAATCCGAAGGAGTACTTATCCTTCTTATATATAAAGCAGTAACTTGGTTTGTCGGTTTGTCGGTATGTCGGTATGTCGGTATGTCGGCCTGTCCGTCCGGGTTACTTTTTAGTAAATTCCAGGAGGTTCTCTTACTGAAAACATGGACATCATTGTTTACTTGTATAGCGAATGGCAGGGCATAGTAGAAATTGACTAAGGGCATCAAGTAAGGTTTTTGGCAAAACTAGTCGCGTCGCACGGCCTGTGCCTAATTGCTGACTCTTACGATGTGATTAGAAAATGCAGTTAGGGGAAGGGTATCGCTTCTATTCAACGGCGACCTTAGGGCTTGAGTGCAGAGGAGGTGTAACCAACCTAACCTGTACTGAGAGTTGGTTCTAGGCGAAAGAATATACGTAGTTTTTAATTAAGCCTCAGGAGGTGAGCAGCGTTAGTTTTGGGGTGAGATGATTACCTCGTGCAAAAAGCTGGGATGGTGTATGAGTTGAATATTCAATTGCCTCGCCGACTTCGGTGCTGCTAAAGCTCAGGTCAAAAAACTGTGTGTTCCCGGCTAAGAAACGTTCCTGAACACAATTATGGGCTAACCTTCTTATATACCTCTCTCTAGTGATCAATGCTGAAAAAAAAGCAGAGGTCCCTCAACTACATCATCACCTCCGAATATTGTACAGACAAGACGGACAGACAGATAAACCGACATACAGACATACCGATATACCGACAAACCGACACATCAAAATACTGTTTCATAAATAAGAGAGATAAGGGGTGGACGAATCCCTCTCATTTATAAAGCAATAACTTGGCGTGTCGGTTTGTCGGTTCGTAGGTGTGTCAGTTTGTGTGTTTGTCGGTGTGTCGGTTTGTCGGTCTGTCCGTCCGCAAAATGTTATAATTACGATAAAGTTAGTGATATGGAAAACCCAGCTCTCACATTTCCTTCTTATACATATAGCAGTAACTTGGTGGTGGGTAGGACAATGGAGTAGAGTGAACACTGCGGAGTGAAGTGAGTAATGTGGAGTACTACAAAATTGTGATTTCGATCTGTGTTAGCATCGTGCTATGTATTTCTATACAAAAATCGGAGGTAATCATGTAGTCAAAAAACTCCGCTTTTTTTCAACATCGAGATGAGGAGATTAATTGTGCTCGGGAACGTTTCTTAGCCGAGATCGCACACTTTTTTGACCTCAGCTTCAAGAGGGAAGGAGCACTGGAGTGAGTGAACTACCATATCATAAACTATTCAACTCATACCCAATCCTAGCTTTAAGGTTTGCTACCCATCCTTCTTCGCACTAAAGTCCTCATTATTGAAAAAAGCAAAGCCCCTCCTTAACTGTACATGGGTTTCTAACTACTCTTCAAAGTAAAAATTGAGGCCCTTTTCTAACTACTCTAAAAGGAAGGAATGAGGCCCGGCGTAAGCCGGGCCATAGTATTGTAATATACGTCTTACAGTACGATATATGGATGTCGGTAATTCATCCTGTTAGCCTCGAGGGTTTCTCCCAACCGTCACAACTTCGGAAATATTGTGCTTCTATAGTGTTCTTTTACAGAATAAATACAAATAGAGAGCTCATCAAAAATTAAAGCGTCCTCGTTATATGAGAAGTACATTGACAAAAAACATCCGCTCCATGCCAGTTGTTAACGACAAAATGGCACAAGAGATATTAAAGGCAAACCGATGATTCCTGAGTACCTGGGTACCCGTAACTGATAACAAAAAACCAGATTGGCGATATGCATATGTGAACTACTGCATCGCTCGGAAGATAAGATCTGATGCTATAGTGAATCAGAATCGGAAGGGTTTCCCAATTCATATGGATGTTTTCAAGGTGACTGGTTCACTCCGTACTTTCGCAACTTAATACACATTCGCAATTGACTTCAGGTTATTGCACAGATCGTTTTATCTACAAGCTTTGCCGTTGTCGTTCCGTGTGCAAGGGAAAAGAAGACAACAATCAAACCGGTGAGTTCTAGACCTTCTGGAAGGTTTCAGACATTCCCCGGCTATTAGGATGAACTTGTAGAAAGTCAGACGAAATTAATGTCTTATTATTGAAAAAAACTGTTTGAGCCGTACGAGGCATTCATTACTCATGAGATCAATTACATTTCGAGATTGCTCGCGTGTGAAAGTGTGTAAAGGAAGGTAAAAGTATATAAACGTCAGCTCAAGCGTTTTTAGACCAGGTCTGCGATTGCACTGAAGCCGTCCGCATCATCATCAGGTAAGAATCCCCCTTGTTTCAATAAGCAGAACAAATAACAAATTTACACCCTGGTGAACGCTTATTTTCAGCTAGCAGCAGATCTTCGTGTACGTTGATTGCACATTGGCATCAAGAACAATTGTTTAGAAAAGGATTTGAAATCGTTTCTATCAATGATTACTAGTCTAACAACTGATACCATCTGGTGGACATTCTTATGAATTATTTTTGGGATACATCTACCAGGATATGTCTCTTTCAGCAGCTAAACGAAATGCGAAGAAGAAAGCTCCGAAACCAGGTAGCCGAAGTTTCACGTATCCTTTCTTTCAGCACAGCTTGGGGAAATGAGCCACATTTTTCCTCTTGGGATTTGAACGTATTTCTACAAGAGAAACGATAGACATCGGGTTGTTGCTCGGTGAGCTAGGAACAATTGAATGGAGTACCAGTGGGATGTGGGATGAAGATCTTCAACCTCTCTGTTCGAGACTCCAACTTATGAGCTTTTCGAGGAATCTCGAAGCCAACTTATTGGGTCACTTGATCAGCTTAATTGCTGAGAAACTCGAAGCCAGTCCTAGAACCTTGTGAACAACAAAGTAATCATAATATCAGACATATGGGCCACCAGAACCAACTATACAGATACTCTGCTTGCCGTAGCTTTTATCGCATACAATTCAAGATGACATAGCTACAACATGTAGGTTTCAGCGGCTGCTGAGGTGAAGGTAATGCCCGCCCAACTGCGACAAATCATGGAAGCGGAACAGATGGGTGAGTCCTCCTCGATTGTGTTTCCTTGAAGAGCTTGATTTATCCAGTAATTTTTCAGCAAAAGCATCAAAGGGCTATGACAGCTACGATGTCGAGCTGGACGATTCTGACTTGCCGAAATAAGTAAATGCGTCAATCATTCAATCAAATCATTATCTGCTCGAACTTCTCGAATATAAAGCTTTTAAGATTGCTCTCTGCGAAAAATTTATCTAGATCGTCGTTGTGAAGCTTTATAAAGCCTCCATTCGCAGGTGCTTCACGATACAAAGGTTGTCCAACTGGTAAAGCAATTCTTGCTAGATGGCATGAGCATATTCTACGTACTACTGTTACGAAGAATGGGATCAGTCAGAAATCTTCGAAAAGCGCTTAAACCACGATTAGATGCAGGCGTTGAACTGAGACAGCAAAAGTAAGTAAATGAAAACAAAGACGGAGGTCCCAGTGTTGTGCTTAAACAGAAATGCGGCTGGACATACCCCTTTCCGTAACAAATGATAAATTCCTGACCACAGAAAAGGAAAGCCCGGTATTAGGCAGGCGCTACAAATTTGGCACAAAACTCAAAAGAAATTGGTACAGAGACTTTCCTGTAAATAAACAGCTGATCAGTGAATCAAAAACTCGAAGGGACTCTCATAATATAAAGTGTTCTTCGTGATACCCATGACTTCAAGTATATGCCACAGCAAGCATAGAAAATGGAACCTTCATTTAACGTGTAATTCTCATCGATGTTCAAGGACATGAGAAGCGAAGGAAGAAGGCACCTGGATGAACTTTGTAATACTACAGTGCGTTTCATAACTATAATGTCACCCTCAAATTTTGCACTTTCAAGAAAAGCAATCATTAAGGTTGTTTTCGAGCATCATGAACGGATTTCCCAGCACGAATAACCTATGTATCCGTTTTTTAGCCGCAGCTGCATTTTTCTGAACTTTTTTAGAACAGTTTATCGGTTTTTGCACCGTTTCATAATTATAAGGTCACCCTGAGAAAGTGAACAATTATTC